CAACGGAGGAGTGCCCATTCCCCCGTTGCCCGACGTCGTGGCGCGCCCTGGCTACTTCGCCGACGAGGTTGAGATCGTGCGCGCCTTCCTCATCGACGAGCAACGCGCCCTCCCCCAGTACGCCGCCGACAACCACGCGGCGTGGGCGGCGTACTTCGAGCGCCGTCAGCAGCAGAGGCTGGCGTCCACCAACGGGGCGCCGGTGGTGGGCGGCACGAAGAACAGCGAGGGGCGCCACCTTTGGTGGGGCGTCCCCGGCCGCACGCTCGAGGGCGTGCTGACGCACCTTGAGGGCGGCAACAACCCACCGCTGGCATACCCTCCCCCGGCGAGGACAGCTGCCCTGGCCCATCGCCGACGCGTCGGGCAATGGATGCCCAGGAGGTTCGACTCCTCCTCGCCGTCCTCCTCGCACTCCTCCTCATGGGCTTCTTCCCACTCCTCCGGCTCTTCGGCGCTGCTCGACGTCAAGGCCGAGCCCGCGGCGGAGATGCCGCTCGGCCGACGCACTCATAGCATCGGCATCTTCATCAACGAGGGCGGCTGGCGCGCCTCCTCCTCGGCTCCTCCGCGCTTCGTCAAGCCAAAGACGGAGCCGGGCCTCCCCACCGTGAAGACGGAGCACGGCGACGTGGAGCTCGACGACGAAACAGCCCTGGAATGGGCGCGCAAGGACTCCCTGAAGATGGCGAGGGAGCGCCAGTGCGCCGCCCCACTGCGGTTCGAGCAGCGCCGCCGGGGCCGCGACGAAGGAGGAGTCGTTGTCATCGAGGACAGGGACGACGACGATGCGCCGCCGCCACCAGTCCGCGTTGGCGACGCCGGTCAGGGGTCTACCAGGGACGGCCACATCAAGGAGGAGAAGGCCGACGACGACGGCGGCGACGACAATGACTACTCGGCGTTCAACGATTTCTTTTTTAGCTATATTTTGCTATGTACCGCCGAACATGTCAATATATGCCAATGTTTGCCGAAATTTAGCCGTGTTTAACCAAACTTCGCTGTACGTTTTCTTTTTTGAAAAAGTTATGCGCATCTGGGGGCGGCCCTGGGGCCGGCGATTGGGGACCAACTCATCCCAGACCCTTTTTTCCGCCGACTCGCCCCCAGGCGGCGATTTTAGGCGCCCCCTGGAAGGCCAACGGCCGGAGATGCTTTTAGCTTCGTTTGCTTTGTACTACTAAGGTATGTGTCGTGTGTTGTGATGGGGGTAAAAAGTTTTAACTCAATAAGAGGACCATACCAGACAAATCTTGATGCAAGCAAATAGATAAAATAAGATTATATTTTGGTTATAAAGCATACTCCCTCTCTCTCAGTTTACAGGGCGTGCACATCCCCTCAGGTCGTCTATTTGACCAACCTAATACAAGTCATATATTACAAAAAAATATATCAATATAAAATTCAGATGTTCTATTTTCAAACCGTATAATTTTTGTGTTATATAATTTATATTAGGGTGATAAAATTGGCAACCTAGATATATGTGCAGGACTTGTAAACTGAGACGGAGGGAGTACATTTTTGTCATTGTTTAAACTGATAAAGTAGGCATGTGTTCTAATTGATCCATTTTATCGAGTTATTGAAGATAAGAGACTGATTGCTATTTATTTATTTATGGACCATGAATTTATTGGGTTATTAAAGATGTATGGCCGGTTTTAACATAAGAAGCAATTTGTTTATGGACTGTGAATTTACTACTATACTATAGATTGATTTGCTTTACCTTTTTAAAAAGGGACGCTTTATTACTTCAAAGATTTAAGTATTGCACCCGGCATCTACATAACTAAAATGCACACAGCCAAACAAGGTTCTCTCACACAAAATAAAAATGAAAAGGAGAAATACAAAGAAATATGTAGAATCCGTATAATGGCTAAAGAGAGAGGGGGGGGGGGGATCCTAAGATCATGCCGACACCCATGTTGGGTAAAAGTACCCCTCGTCGTAGCCTCCAATCGTTCACACACCTCCGTAAATAGGTTCCGGTTCTCCACGCGTTGTAGAGAGGACCATAAACAAAGAGTGTCGATACATGTGTAGATAACTTGTATCAGATAAGTACTTTTATCATTAAAAGCCTTATCATTTCTACATAGCCAAGCGACCAAATGACGACAAGCGCTCCAGAAGAGTTATAAACCTGTGATCAATCCCGTGTAGCCAGTTGCCAAATACATTAACAACACTACAAAAAAGATACAAGCCAGAAGCTATTTGGATGACTTACCATATAAAACGAGCCAATTTGCACTAGAAGAATATATGTTTTATTTGTCTCATCATGGTGACAAAAGACACATTACGAACTTTCATGCCAATTCCTCTTAATAAGGTTATCTTTAGTAAGAATGACTCCGTGACGGAAATACCATGCAAAAATTTTATTCTTAAGAGACATCTTCATCTTTCAGATCTTCTTATTACCGTTAGTCACATTAGATTGGATTAACGCTCTATACATAGACCTCACTAAGAATTATCAGTTGTCATGTATGTTCCATTGAAATACACCGGACCCATGTAACAATTGCATCGTAGACAACCGATTGAGCAGGATGTTTCACGATTGGAGTCTGGGTTCAATTAAATCTCTTTTGAATGTCGCATTTGACGAAAATGATTTCGCTACCGTGACGATAGTATCGCCCTTGTGGCGCACAATGTTGTATAGAGTCGGAGTGTCGCATTTTTCGAGCCACTTGTCCTCCCAAATCAGTGGAGCCAGAAAGGGATAGAAATTGAAACTTTTTAGTGGAGCAACCGAGGAAAGAGTGAGACATGTGTAAAATGGGAGACGAAACATTATCTCTTTTTCACGTAAGTACTAGGTACGTGCCCGTGCATTGCCAGAGGGCCAAATATTTTTTATCTCAATAAATTTGGTAGCCTGGCTCATGCATGGTAAGTAAATTAATATGATTGTGCAGCGTACGGAAAGGTGCATGAAATATGGCATGAAATTGAGCGGCTAATCACCCGATATTGCAAAAAGGTAAATAAATTAATGTCATTGAGTGGCGTACTTGGAATGTGCGGTTAATATGGCATGGTGGAAAAAAACTGACCGGATGAAAAGAAATCAATGGACGGACATGGTGGAAGAGGAACTGGTTGATGAAGAGCTCCGCGTGGCAGAAAAAGGAATGCTACTTATCTCTTACGATTAAAAGAGAATTGATACGTCGTTATTTCGCACACATTCATTAATACAAAAACAAATTTGAAAACCGAGTGCCGAATTAATAGGGAAATCAAGACATTAATGTAATTAATTGGCTAGACAACTAGTAATGAAGTTTGTCTAAGTAGACATTTTTTTGCGCCAAATCAATTTGGAAACCGAGACATTAATGTAATTAATTCATTATTAGTCAAGGATAACTAGGCATGCAAATAATTAGTAGAAGCAATTTTTTGCAAACGTATTTTCCCTAATAGTAGAGATTCTTTTCAAAATAACTCATAATCTACCTTTTCGCATGCACTCCGGTAATTAGTCATCAGCGTCATAAGAGTAAGTACAATAGAGCTGAGTCAGTGGGCTATAAGAAATAAACTAGTATATTTCTGCTTAGTTGGAGGAAAGAGAAGAGGAGAGAGAAGGTAAGCGGGCTCTTCATGAAGAGCCAGCTCTAGCACGTGCTCCTAGGCACTTTGTGAGAATGAAAGGTGGACCACATAATAAAAAAGTAGTACACTTTTTTTATCTACTATTGTACATGTTGGCTATAAGACATGCTATAGGTGACACGGCACAGGCTTATAGTCAGCAGCTGGCTATACTATTAACCATGCTCTAACACAGTCAATGCCATGGCGCCCGAGGACAATCGGCCACACGCCACTACTCTCCAAATTTTTATTTCATCCTGTAGTAACGCCCAGGTACTTAGAGGGTGCTTGGATACGTTTTAGTCCCATGACTAAAAGTAGTGGGACTAAAACTTGCTAGCCTCACCCATGCTTGGATACAAATACTAAATAGACTAAAATCAAGTTAAAGAGCATTTATTATCCTCCAAACCCTCCAATCCAGAACTCGCATGTGTTAAAGAAGAGGAGTTAAATGAGGAGAGAGAGGACTAATCCACATTTTAGTAGGGTTCCACTAACTAAAATATTTTAGTCTCAAGACTAGTTCTAGTCTCTCTTTAATCGGGGGTGATTGGAACTTTAGCCTCTAAAAGAGACTAGTTTTAGTCAGACTAAAAATAGTCCCTTAGATCCAAGCATGCTCTTAGCTAAGGTTTTTAAGTCCACTACTCCTAAACAAACGCGTTATGGCAGAAACATTGAATGTCGGTCCTTCGTTATCTTAAATCTGATGCCTAGATTGCTCCAATTGCGTTGGATGTACTCGCTCCGTTTTTATTTACTTTGCATTAGGTTTGACTGAAATCAAACTTCGTAAAGTTTGACCAAGTTTATGAAAAAGTATAAACATTTACCATAACAAATCTATATGATGTGAAAGTAGATTGAGTAATGAATCTAATGCTATTGGTTTGTTATTGTATATATCAATATTTTTATTTATAAACTTTGTCAAACTTTACAAAGATTGACTTTGACAAAAACTAATATGCGGAATAAATAAAAATGGAGGGAGTATATAGACCTATTTCAGAATAGATTCATGCATTTTGCTTCGCATTTAAAATCTCAAAAAGCCTTATATTTAGAAACGGATAGAGCATAATAATAAGAAAATGATAGAGATAGGGATAGAGATTTCCCGTAAAAAAAAAGAGATAGGGATAGAGATATGTATCCTAGCTGGAAAGGGAGTCGCGTGACGTCTGCCCATCTGCTCCGCCGCGGCGGCGCAGCCTAATCGGCGGGTGGCAGAAACGAATACGACACCAACAACCCACTCCTCGCCTGTCGCCACTCCGCTATCCCCTCTTCCTCCCTCCCTCCCTCCCTCTTCGTCACTGCTCCACTCCACACCCAGACGCAACCACCGGCGACGACGACCGACGATGCTTCGCGCCGTCCTCCTCCGCTCAGGTAGATCGCTCCCCTCCCTCCCTCCCTCCCCGTCCTCCATCCCTGAGGCCGCACGCGGTTCCTGACCCCTTCCCCGTCGCAGCCTCCGGCCTCCGCCGGTCACCGATGGCCGCCCCGCTATCCACCGCCGCCGCCTCGTGGCTCGCCGAGGGGACCTCGCCGTCGCCGGTACGCGCCCGCCCCTCCCGGAACCCCCAATCTGTTGTTCCTATTCGTGTAAGCGCCATTTCCGCCTGGTGTGACTCACTGCCCCCTCCTCGCGCTCGCAGCCCAGGGTGCGCCTCCTCATCGGCGGCGACTTCGTCGAGTCGAGGGCCACCGAGCACGTCGACGTCACCAATCCCGTAAGCCATCCTCCCGCCTCTCGGGCCCTCCCAATCGGTCGACCCTTCAGCCGGAGTTGGTCGATTATAAAAGCTGTCGAGATGTGATGTGACGCGGGCATTTCTATGTCGCAGGCGACGCAGGAGGTGGTGTCCCGGATCCCGCTCACCACCGCCGACGAGTTCAGCGCCGCGGTGGACGCTGCCAGGACCGCCTTCCCTGGCTGGCGGAACACGCCGGTCACGGCGCGGCAGCGCATCATGTTCAAATACCAGGAGCTCATCCGGGCCAACATGGTAGTATTATTTTTGAACTTCTTCCAATTTCCATCGACAGAAACCATCAGTTATTGGTTCCTGCTGCAGTAAATTCCGGGCTTCATTGGTGGTGATTAATTCTGTGCTTATTTGGTGGTGATAAATACTAGGATAAGCTGGCAGAGAACATTACAACCGAGCAGGGAAAGACGCTGAAAGATGCTTGGGGTGATGTATTCCGTGGTCTAGGTTAGTTTTCATACCAGTACACTTGTTTTTGGCCCGTTTCTGCTTGGTTAGATAGATAGTATAATCATCTTAACATCCCAATCGTGTTAGTTGTTGATCCACGGGCAATCCGCAAGTCTGATGAGTTCACTCTCTCTTTTCATGCTTGGAATATGTAATAACACTATTCTGCTACTCCCTCCGTCCCATAATATAAGAACGTTTTTGACACTAGTGTAGTGTCAAAAACGTTCTTATATTATGGGACGGAGGGAGTAGAAGATATACAAACCGGTCAGTAAGCAGAATAAATCATCCATATAATAGCAGGTTATCCTCATGTATGCAGTTTAAGACATGGTGTTCTATTTTGCACACCTTCTACATTGCAGGACATGTCAATTTCACCAGTATCTTTTATCTGCCCTTAATATGCTTGATTCTGTGAAGTGACATTTTCTTCGTGAGACGCCTCTTGGTTATATTGGCTATTTAACACACTGGCTGTAAGTTTTTTGATTTCAAACTTCTAATCTTGCAGAGGTGGTGGAGCATGCTTGTGGAATGGGGTCACTGCAAATGGGCGAATACGTATCTAATGTTTCTCATGGGATTGACACCTTCAGTATTAGGGAGCCACTTGGTGTATGTGCTGGGATATGCCCATTCAATTTCCCTGCCATGATTCCCCTATGGGTATGCCTGACTTCACTGTTCCTTTAACATCAAATTTTGTTCTTATTACTTACCAGGACTCTAGAGTGCATCACCTGTACAATTTCCTGACCTTATTCTGTCAGTAACCTTGTTTGTTAATATCTGCTATTATTCTTTGTAATATAAACTCAGGAGAGAAAATTTGATCGTGCGGGTTTTCTTATGTTCTTTGGATGCAGATGTTCCCCATAGCTGTTACTTGTGGCAATACTTTTGTTCTAAAGCCATCAGAAAAGGATCCAGGTGCTTGCTTTTGCCATCATATTCTTGCCCAACTTGCTGACTACATTTATTGTTGTTGTGGCGTTTACTAACTAAATGCAAAAGTGCTGTGTTCTTGCTTAGCTTATGTTTGAAGATTGGTAACGGTGCTGTATTTCTCGCCATGATTATTTAGACAAACATACCTTTCTGTCTCATAAGGAATTGGTGCATAATAGTTGCAGCCAAGTTTCACATTTTCATTAGTTGTACAATAGCACTATGAAATATACATTTTGGACAGGAATACTGTAGGGGAACACCCTAGGGTGTGTGTAGTAGATTCTTATAATATAAAATGTAAGGCTACGTTCGACATCTCGTTTTCTTTTTGGAGTTTTAGGAGAATACGGTGGTCTTTTTAGAAAGCATGGTTTTAAATACTTTGATGTGTTTGGCATCAACAAATGCAGCACTTGCATAAACCATAGTATCTCCAATACCATGTCTTTTTTTTTGCAGTATATGAAAAAGAGGTCTCAACTTCTTTTTTCTTAACTGACTGCGAAAAACTGTGATTCTTAGGAACTCTAGTATTCACCGCCCATGCATTGGAATACTGAGGTATTAGATTTAGGGTTTGAAAAACTGTGCTGCCAAACTAGGCCTAAACGGCCTAAAATCCTGCTCACAGGGGGCAAAAGGACAAAGATATTGACCAAAAGTCCAAAACAGGATACATAGATGGGCTTAATGCTACTGCATAATTTAAATCACACTTGAAACGAGCTTTCCAACTCTGAAAGGAGGGATTTGATCATTTGCCACGTTTTAAAGTACAATGTATCATTGTAAATGTCGGTCCTTTAAAATGCTTTAATTTTCGGCCATTTGGACAGAAAGACTGCACATGTTTAATTTTGAGATTTGATGGTATAATATTTGTCAACAGGGGCTGCTATGATGCTTGCGGAGCTAGCGATGGAGGCTGGTTTACCAAAGGGTGTGTTGAACATTGTTCATGGTACCCATGTACGGTATTCTTAGTTTTTTTTTTTGAGCTTGTCATTGGGTTTGATAATTTGCTTCTCATGTGCTGCTGATGCCTGGTGTTGTTTCATTTTAGAACACATAAAATGATTGATACTTTGTGGGCAAAGCTGCACGCTGTTGTCTTTACTCTTTGGAACACTGGCAAAGCAGCACATCTTGAAACTTCACACTTCCTCTGGAGAATTATCTGCTCATATTCGATACATGAATCTGTTATGCTTTTTCTGTAAAGAACATTCATGGACCTATTATGCTTTTTCTGAAAAGAACATTCACGATATATTCTGCTGGAGTCCCCAGGCTTCTTAGGTTACCTGGTTCTCATTTTGTTTTACTTTATCAGGATGTTGTCAACAACATTTGTGATGACGAGGCTATTAAGGCAGTATCATTTGTTGGTTCCAATACAGTAAGTGGATCAATGATCTCCCTGAACCTTGATTTACAAGTACACTTTCCTGCATCGACCATCTAACTAATATTCTGCTCTTCCGATACGTATCAACATATTTGTTTTCCGCTCTTGAGTCATCATCAACCAACCTCGCTCTAGAAACAAGGATATCCATGCATTCTCAATCACATGCACACATGACAGATCTTTTTATGTGTTATTATAGTGTTTCAAAACTTAATTAGCTTACTGTGCTGACCAATAAATTCATTTACCAAGATACAAATAAGAGTTTTTTGTGCCAATACAGGTGTTCTTGCTGTTGATGTATTCGTGTTAATGGCATGTTTTTTTCCCCACAAATATGCAAAGCTTGCGTATCATTCCATTGATAGAAGAAGCGTGTTAATGGCATGTGTTCTCTTGTATTGAGAGATGTGCAGAAAAAAAGAGATGTGCAGTTATAACTTATAAGTTCTATTTTTGATCAGTTACATTAGATTTTTAACCCCATATCGGAATTGCTATTGTACTCCTGTTGCTCAGAGCTAGCTAGCAGTTGTGCTATCTCTGATCTCTCTCTCCTTCTCAGGCAGGTATGCATATATATTCTAGAGCATCTGCGAGTGGGAAGCGTGTTCAGGTGGGTTTGCTTCTAATCATGATTTCCTGAATAACCATTTTTCCATGCCTTTTGCATTCTAAGCAGTATAATTCAGAATAACGGTTTCTGTTTCCTTTAGTGTAACATGGGTGCAAAGAATCATGCCATTATCCTTCCTGATGCTGATCGAGATGCCACATTGAATGCCCTTATTGCTGCCGGTTTTGGTGCAGCTGGGCAAAGGTGCATGGCATTGAGCACTGCTGTTTTTGTTGGAGGTTCAGAACCATGGTAGAGTTCTACGACTTCTATCCAAGACAAGTTTTTTAGGCTAAAGTTTTTTTTTGGGGTCAGATTTTGGGGAAGCATTGTCAACCTTATCTTTTGTTTTAGGGAGGATGAACTAGTCAAACGTGCAAGCAGCCTTGTAGTTAATACCGGAACAGCTAATGATGCAGATCTTGGTCCAGTGATCAGTAGACAGGTTTGCTTTTTTAAGGACATGTTTTTGTATCCATGTTATTCATATTTTCCTACTTATGGATACATACTGATATATTTTTTTAAATTGAATATTTGAACATAGGATCTTTTTTTTGTCGGAGGATATTCAAACTTTTAAATTTAAGGGGTAAAAAGAGATCTTGTGAAGTTTAGATCTCCAAAAGGCCGGTTGATTACCTGTTTAAAATTGGACGATAGAACAGTAGTTACTTATTAACCACTCAAGTTCATTTAGAAGAATTAATCATGAAATGTTGAGTGAGTAATCTTCGTATAGCCTCTGTATGGAATATGATCCCATTGAAAAAAATGCTACACCTGTTTTTGTCATGATGAACTGTTGACATATGGTATAGCCTTTCCAGAAACATATTAGCTTTTGGGGTTTGACTGTACGTCATGAGCTTTAGATTTACCTTCATAGTCATTGCAATGGTAACTAGTAGTTCCCCTGTCATAATCTCTGCCTCGAGCACATCTATATGCCACTGCCACTGCCATGTTCGTGATTAATTGAGTTTTTTGTTGTGGGCCTAAGCTACTAGGGCCCACATTTGGACCATAGAAATAAATTATCATAAATATTAGCTTGATAATATAACAGTCAATTTTCTTTTTGGAGGCTTCTCTGTGACCTCAGGATTCATATCACTTACTCCAGTTCACAGATTGTTGACATTTTCACTCTTTAAAAGTTCTGTCTACCTATATTTTCAAGTATTTGGATTAGAAGTTTAGAACTTAGGAATTATATTCAAAAGTACTTCCATGATATCATAATTTTGTTAGGATTTATATACAAAGAAACAGTGACCAGAGTTGTGGTTTTAGACCACGTCGATGTCCAAAACTTCTGCTTTTGGGGAACTGGAGGGAGTTCTAGATTGGTATTAGAGCCCTTTGTTTTCTTGGTGAATCTTGTGCCCTAACAGTTTGGTATCAATAGGCCAAGGACCGCATCTGCAAGTTAGTCCAAAGTGGTGCTGACAGTGGTGCTCGACTTGTGCTGGATGGGAGGGAGATCGTGGTAATTTTGAGAATTCAGTTGTTGAACTGCCTGTGTGCAATTCCTGGTATGCCTGATAGCTATGCGCTGTGCAGGTTCCTCAATTTGAGGATGGCAACTTTATTGGTCCAACTGTGTTGGCTGATGTTAAAAGTGATATGGAGTGTTACCAGGTATTTTTAGAATGTTTACTTCGCATCAGTTTTAACATTATTTTATAAAACAGTACCCACCTTTTCCTTCCCAAGATAGAATTGGACGATCATTTGCCTTGTTATATTTGACTGAAACCTGGAAATCTTGAAACAGGAGGAAATTTTTGGTCCAGTTCTTCTCTTGATGAAGGTATAACAAACTTGTTTACCTCTCTTGACACCATTAAATTTTTATTATGCTGATTATGTTATCAATTAATTGCAGGCAGAGAGCCTAGATGATGCCATACAAATTGTAAACAGAAACAAGTAATTTTTTTTCTCTCCTGTGAGCTCATATAGGCAAAGCATTGATTGCAGTTTAATGATTTACAAATCTTCCTCAGGTATGGCAATGGGGCTTCCATCTTTACCACATCTGGTGTCTCGGCAAGGAAATTTCAGACGGACATTGAAGCTGGCCAGGTACTGCATAGCATTTGTGAAGGATTAGTTACCTAATCGTGTAAGCTAGTACGGGTAGTACTCCTACATTACAAGGTCTGAAAACGTTTTGGAGAAAATGTAAAAACCTAGTCGTGTATTGTTTCTTGCTAGATATTAGAATATAACCTGAAGCTAAACACATACATGAACATTTAGATATATATAACTGGGTGCTTGAAATTCAGCGTTCTAAAGTTGAGGTTAACATAAACAAGAAGAGAGAGTACTGCCCGTATGAATCACAATGTATCGCTTTCCTTTGTAGGTGGGTATCAACGTGCCAATCCCAGTACCCCTGCCATTCTTCTCCTTCACGGGCAGCAAAGCTTCCTTCGCAGGAGACTTGAATTTCTACGGTGCGCCTGTTAATCTCACTTGATCATCCTTCTCCAGCAGAGACTACCTAGAGTTGCATCTGGGCTTAACTAACACGGTAAACATGGATTTGCAGGCAAGGCGGGCGTGCAGTTCTTCACCCAGATCAAGACCATCACGCAGCAGTGGAAGGAGTCGTCTCCCCAGCGCGTTTCTCTCTCCATGCCCACCTCGCAGAAGTGAAGTCACCGGAGCTAACTCATGTAGGCCTTGTTCGGTTGAGGTGGTTTTTGAAGGGGAATGGCAGGGTTTGAGGGGGATTAGATCCCCTACAAGCCAAAATCCTCTCCAATCCACTCCAATCCCCTTGGGAGGAGGATTAAACGAACAAGGCCGTATGTGGAAATAAACCCAGGCATTGATGTGGAATTTAAGCTTCACAGGAGTTGCCTTTCATCAAGGGTAACTCTTGTGATGTCTTTCATTGTGCTGCCGATAATAAGGAAGAAAATCCCAGATTAGACGACCGAATCACACACACAGGAGAGCATGTCTTTGTACAGGGACCAAATCAATGTGTACACGCAATGGCTCAATATCACATTGTCACTGAACTTGCAGCCAAATCGCCGTGTGGGGCATGGCGGCCGGCTACGGCTGAGCGCCGGGGTTTCTCTCTCCATGAACATCGGTGTTCAAACAGCCAGTGAACATCGGCCCCCGGCGCCGGGGTTTTGAGGCGGCCTAGAAATGAAGCTCTTGCTGGCCTCTGCGTGAAATTAGATCTTAACCCACACTTTACTTTCCCATTTGATGATCACCCCACCCCTCTCAAGATTGGCGGGGCCCTGTAAGTTGGTACTTGCGGCAAATGACCCTAGGGCAAATCATCTAAGACCCTGTTCAGTTATCCACCAACTCCTAGAATCTGCAGAGCGAGGAAATTGCAGCTCTGTCATTTTGAACTACAGCTTCACTAGCTTCGGGACCGAAGTCATGATAGAAAACTTGTGTGTACTAAATCAAACCGACGCGTCCAAAAAATCATGCTCATAACTATTAGTCTATTACAAATACATTGATTTGGATCTAATATCCAAAATAAATAAATAAAGTATTTTTTATGTTTAAGAATTACATTGGAGTCTTCTAAAATTATCTTTGTTATGATATCAGTCTCTGTAAGACTTTGGTAAAACGACAGTGTCACTCTTTCATCCATAGGGACTTGGTTGCTAAGAAAGGTTCTTGAAAGCTCATTTAGTCGTCCATCCAAAAAGATGAAAAACCTTGAGTGATAACGTACTTGGCCAGAGACGATCCACCAAAAGTGCACACTATCAAGTCACGATGTCGATGTAAGATTCCAACTTCACAATAATCAAACCAACAAAAACAACTTGACACAATAACATAAACTCGTTAGATTTGCATAATCAAATTTGCCAAATAAAATAAAAGAGTAACTTTATTCGCACAAAACTATGATCACCACTAGATGTTGATGAAGAAAACATAATTCTTAAAGATTTGAGACCCTCCACCTATCAGCGTTAAGATGGCAGCTGAAGGCGAAGGGACCAGAATTTCTCCAGTGGCGGCTGCAGTTCTCTGAGTGAACCCTGACGCATGACTTACTCCCTCTATCCCAAAATAAGTGACGTGGTTTTAGAATTTTTTGAGCGGTAAAACCAAACTTTACTGATTAGTGTTTCGGTTTACAGGAATAACAAAGGGATCATGAGGTACCCCCCCCCCCCGCCACACATGGCGCCCTTGGACTAAAGAAGTACAAAATTTAACTAAATTTTGAGCATCAACGTCCCCCTGTCGACCTTCAAAGATGAAGTCACATCATGCAAACTCTCTAGAATGGGTTTGTATCTCCTTTATGATAGAACTATATCTCCCTTTTGTCCGCTTCTTAATTTCTTCCACCACTGTCTTGCAATCACAAGCAACGACAATTTGATCTAAATATA